CTGCACCCCCTCAGAGCCAGGCCACAGCTCCTGGAAGGGGGGATTCAGACAAGTGTAAGGGGGCCAAAGCTGGAGCCAGGAGCAAAGCATTGGCCGGGCTGTGGTCGGGAGTTAAGGCCAGAGGGCAGGGCTGGGATCTGAGCAGGGCTGGGTGGTACTCCCTCCCCGCCCCTCATGGGGGCTGGCCCAGCCCTGCCATGCTGATCTATAGAAATCATGTCAGTTTTCTCGCTGCGTCTATTTTTTTAAAAAATTCTTAACATGCTTAGGATGCCTAGTAAGGGCAGTTGCTGTCTGTATCACACACAGTATCAAGTTGCTATGGCCAGGCATATCCACTGTGGATTCATCTACAAAACCTGCCCGTGTATGTATACTGTATGGAATACATTTATTAAAATGTGAAGAATAATATTAGGCGGGTCATTGCCAGTAGACTGACAATGTTACTGAGAATAGTTACCAACTGAATACTGTTAACACGTTTATACAATTAGTTTTGTGAGGAAAAGCATACACAAAGTTCGAGGTACCATATCATCACTGCTTTCTTATGTCGTAACCAATATTTGGTAATGAAATAGGTAAAACAATAAGTACTCCAGCAAAATGTCACTTAACATGTGGGGCACTTTTTTCCCCAGTGAACACAATAAAGTGAGGTTCATTATATTCTCAATTTTACTTCTGTGCATCTCTCACCTTTTTTCAAGATATTTTCACTTTTTTTCACCCTTTAGTAGAGAGAGATATAATGATGGTCCTAATCCTGGAAGGTGCCCAGAACACCGAGTTGGCACTGAGCTGACATGCTGTGCACCTCCAAAGGAATTGCTTAACAGCTTGCATGGTTGGACCTTTAGGCTGTGTGGCTTTGTATTATTTCTTTCTGGGGTGATGATAACAGAGATGTTGGCAGCTTCTTCTGGGTCTTTTTTTTCTTTTTTTTTTTTTTTCCTTTTTAAGTATATATACACTGGATCCCTTCCCAGTTCTGATAATGCCTCAGATAAGGCATGGAGGAATGGAAAACAAACTGCTGGTATTATACTTGCCAGTGGTACCCTATACAGGATGCATCAGCAGGGGATGCTAATGTGGAATACAACATTGTGTTATGTCTCAAACACCACAAGCTCTTCGGGTATGTATTCTTCAAGAGAAACTCTTCTCCCCTTTTGTTCTTTCTTGATGGAATGCCAAATCTTTTTCCAACTTAAGTTAATGGCAAAAACTCCAATTGACTGTAACAGAAACAGAACTGAGTCTACATACACTAAGGACTAATTCAGATACCCTTACTCACGCTGAATAGCACCTTAGTCCATAGATAGTCTCACTGAAGTAAATGGGAGTAAGGTGCTACTGAACCAGTGTAATGGTATCAGAACGTGGCCCTAATTTATTCAGCAAGAAGAACTGGATCCTACTACAGAAAGTGGTCTGGAAAAAGTGAGAGTCATAGAATCACAGAAATGTAGGGCTGGAAGGGACCTCTAGAGGTCATCAAGTCCCACCCCCTGTGCTGAGGCAGGACCAAGTAAACCTAAATCATCATCTGACAGGTGTTTGTCCCACCTGTTCTTAAAAACCTCCAACAACTGGGATTCCACAACCTCCCTTGGAAGCCTATTCCAGTGCTTAACTACTCTTCTAGTTAGAAAGTTTTTACTAATATCTAACTATAAACGAGTTGGCTGCCCCTATGTGCCCTCTTGTGGCCTTGTGCCTCTGCCCTGCCTTGCCCTTTATTCTCCCTTTTCCAGGCCCTTTTACAGACACTCCACACTTGCTCATCCAATCACCACCCTTATTGGGGTCTGGGTTTATTCAGACAAAACTCAGTCCCAAAAATCTGTCCTGGGGCACGGCTCTTACCTCAGAGCCTGGGCGACCAAAAGGGTTCCTTCTTAGAGTTCTTTGTTAATGAGTTCTTATGGGGTAACCTGCCCTGGGGTTCAGCTTGCAACAGTCCTGCACAGAGCTGACTCCCCTGTAAACTTCCCAGAGTCAGCCCTCTCAAACAGCTGTCAGCTCTCTAATAAGGAACCAGCTGCTTGAGGTTCTCTCCCCCCTGCACCAGGTGTCTCTTGTTAGCTCATAACAAGCCTGCTCCACACTGTGAATGCAGCTCCCTCACTCCCTCTGCTAATACACTAACCTAAATCCCTTGCTGCAGATTAAGCCCATTACTTCTTTTCCTACTTTAAAGGACATGGAGAACAATTATCACTGTCCTCTTTATAAGAGCTCTTAACATATTTGAAGACTGTTACCAGGGTCCCTTCCTAGTCTTCTTTTCTCAAGACTAAACATGCCCATTTTTCTGAACCTTTCATCACAGGTCAAGTTTTCTAAACCTTTTATCATATTTTTGCTTTCCTCTGGACTCTCTCCAATTTATCCACATCTTTCCTAAAGTGTGGTGCCAAGAACTGGACACAGGACTCCAGCTACTCCCCAGTGCCGAGTAGAGCGGGCCAATTATCTCCTGTGTCTTACATACTACATTCCTGTTAATATACCCCAGAATGACATTAGCCTTTTTTTTTTTTTTTTTTGCAGCTGCACCACAGTTGATTTATATTCAATTTGTGATCCACTATAACTCCCGGATCCTTTTTAGCAGTTCTACCACATAGCCAGTTATTCTGCATTTTATAGCTGTGCATTTGATTTTTCCTTCCTAAGTGAAGTACTTTTCATTTCTCTTTATTGAATTTCATCTCGTTGATTTCCAACCAACTTCCAATGTGTCAACGTGGTTTGAATTCTAATCCTGTCATCCAAAATGCTTGCAAACCTTTCCAGCTTGATGTCATCTGCAAATTTTATAAGCACTCTCTGCTCCACTATCCAAGTCATTAATGAAAATATTGAACAGTACCGGAACAAGGACTGACCCTTGCAGGACCCCACTAGATATACTCTCCCAGTCTGTCAATGAACCACTGATAACTACTTTGTAAGTATAGTTTTTCAACAAGTTTTGCACACACCTTTCATCTAGACCACATTTCCCTAGTTTACTTATGAGAATGTCACATGGGACCGTGTCAATAGCCTTATTAAAATCAAGTTATATCGCATCTACTGCTTCCCCTTATCCACTAGGCCAGTAACCCTGTCAAAGAAGGAAATTAGGTTGGTTTGTCAAGATTTGTTCTTGACAAATCCATGCTGGCTATTTCTTATAACCCTATTGTCCTCCAGAGGCTTACAAACTGATTGTTTAATAATTTGTTCCAGTATCTTTCCAGGTATCAAAGTTAGGCTGATTGGTCTACGAATCCCTACAAATCTCTTTGTTCCCCTTTTTAAAGATAGGTTATATTAACTCTTTGACACTGGTAAACCAGCTCAGGATAAAATTAACAGACCAATTCACCTGAGTGTGATCTTACAGGCATGTCAAGAGGCATTGCAAGATAATCAGGCTAATTCACTGTGTTTAAGTAACAAAGGAATGTTAAAGCTTATGCCCAAATAAACGTGTTAGTCTCTAAGGTGCCACAAGGACTCCTTGTTGTTTTTGCTGTTACAGACTAACATGGCTACCCCTCTGAAACCAAATATAAGAGGTTCACTTGTGTTGATAAGAATGGAGTAGATACTAAATTGTATTTGTCTGTATTTACCCACATCCATCTGTATTTACCCACATCCTCTTAGAAGGTACCAGTGTAATCAAATTAACTTTTCATGTTTTGCATTGCCTTTACATTATGAACGCAACTATACTCAGTTATTAGATCAAAAAGCGCATATGTAGCATTTAGATGTAAAACTACTTGATAAAGACTTGGTGGCTATCACATTGTGTTTACAAGACCGAAACCTTAGGGCTGAAGCATTCAATCTTCAAAACAAGGCCATTAGGACTTGTCACGGACTCAAATATCTATTCTTCCTCACACTAGATGGCAGGACTGTCTTTCTAGGAAGACACCTATCAACCTGTTCATGTCAGAGAGCTATAAATATAGATTTATGGACTGATCCAACAGCTCTAATCTTTCTGGATGCTATCAGGGGGCTATTCCAGATGCAAGACAGATCTCCCCAAATCTGCTTTGGTAAAACCCTGAGGAACTTATGAAAGGACACTAAGAGACTTATGGAGAATTAGCAGGCATTACACCTCTGCTAATAACTGGTCTCACAGATTCTGAACCAACTGTAATGTTTCTTATCTGCTTAGACCTTTTAATAACTCTTATTTCTTTTCCTTAATTAATAAATCTTTAGTTTAGTTTTCTAAGGATTGGCTTCCAGTGCTGTTTTTGGTGAGACCTTGATGTATCCAGTGACCTGAGCAAGTGACTGGAAGAACCTAATGTTTGGTGGGTTTGGTTTTAATAACCTTACATCATAAAGTCCAGCTTGTCTGGGCTGGAATGCTAAGGGGGCTGTATGTGACTCCTTGGTAAAACTAATATAGTGATCCTGGGGTACACTTTTGTTACTGGCTTGGTAAAATCTAACTGCAGAATATACCACCAGTTTGGGTGTGTCTGCCCTGTTTTCTGACAGCGTGTTCCGAGTTTGGCATTCTTAGCTGTGACCCACTCTATGAACCGTGACACTCTTCTCCAGTGGTCTGGAACCATGCCTGTCCCCCATCAGTTCTCAAAGTCTATTATCTGGGAGGAGCAGCTTTCATAAGACCATGCTTAAAGGGTGCCCTTCAGTTTACTGGCTTGATTTTTAAAATGATTGTGTTTGCTAGATCTTCAAACCCTTGTGAACTCTCCTCTCCTGCCCCCCGACCCCACACACTTCAACCACTGCTGGGTCCCTTTCTCCTCATTTCCCCTTGTTTCTAATCATTCTCTCAACTGAACTTTTTTTGAGAGATCTGGAAATTAGAAAACACCTAGGCAGAAAGCTAAGAACAGAGAAATAGGGGAATAGGGATCATGGACAAGTAAATCAGTCATTAGCATTACAGTCTGGTATAATTATGTGAAAGTCTTTATGGTTTTAAGCTGAGCTCTTACCTGCACGAGTTGCTGCTTTAATTTCTGCATTTCCGATATGTTGAGCTCACTGAAGAGATCAGAGACTGGGTGCAGAGATTCTCCTTTCCTAACTGCTGGAGTCCGGTAATCTCCAGTCAGTTTCACAAGAGGCCCATGAATGTGCCCATTCATTTTGTCATCATTATTAGGTTCGCTCCCATCCTCTGCAAACTTTAATCCATCTACTGATATATTAATGTGGTTACTGTACATACTATCATTGAGGTTGATATATTGGGAGAGTTCCTTCCTCAGATTGTTCTTTTGCTCCCTTTCATTTTTTAAGGTCTCCAGGGCTTCCTCCAGCTGATGTTCGGCAATCTCCTTCAGTCGGATGGCATCTTCTAGCTGGCTATTAAGCAATACTGTCTCCTCCTCAAATCGTTTAATTTCATGCTTTAAACCTTCATATTCAACCTGAATTAGGCAAGACAAAGAACATTCATAACACTAAAACTTGGGTCTTAAAAACCTGCCATTTATTAACCTGATTGAACTAGGCACTAAATAGCCAAAAATTACTTAGACCAGGCATTGCCAGTAGCTGCAAAGAGCGTCATGCTCAGAAAATTCATGAGGAAAGGTGTACTGCATGTACCCCATTTTATTAGTTCTTGGTTTTCTATTGTACTGCACACATTTTCAAGGGGTGAGAATCAGAATCTCTGGATGATTTATTAGGACACACTGTATTTCAGAGGTTCTCAACCTTCTTCTTCCTGAGTGCGCCCCGCCACCCCACATGCTATAAAAACTCCACAGCCTACCTATGCCACAATAACTGGTTTTCTGCATATAAAAGCCAGGTCCAGAGTTAGAATTTCAGTCTGGCCATGCTACAGGGGCCCCCACAAAGCTACATTGTTCAGGCTTCAGCCCTAGGTGGCAGGGCGCAGGGACCTGGGCTTCAGCCCCATGTGGTGGGGCTTTGGCTTTCTGCCCTGGGCTCCAGTATGTCTAATGCTGGCCCTGCTTGGAGGCCCCACTGAAACCTGCCTGAGGCCCCCTAGGGGACCCTGGATCCCTGGTTGAGAACCTCTGTTGTATTTCATGCAAGAATAGTCACTGACCTGAAGCTACACTAGGAAGTACAGCTTTATTATTAGTCATCATAAGTAATGTTTGTCTATTATGGCATTGCGGATAGATGGAAGTTAATTATACTGTTCGACTTATCACTCATAGGTATTTCTAAGGCATCTATCACCATGGCATCCAACTTCTTATCTGATGTAATCACTGTGTGTCCAGTTTTTTATACTGTAGGGAGATATAGGTTTGTTTAATGACAATTATTCAATAAGGTTTTATTTTAAAAATGAAAGGACAGACTAATAACCCAACCTGTTTAAACTGCCAGATGTCCTCAAGTGGCAGCAATTTTAAAATAGAGGTTGACTTTTGACAATCCGAAAAATATAATAGTAGCGGTGTTCAAGCAGGGAATACAGAAGCCATTTTAGGGCACCGACAGCTGGTCTTCTGGTCCTGTAGCAGGCCAGACTGAAATTCTTCCCCTGCTGAGCTGGTGTTGGCCAGTCAAGTTTTGACTGATAAATCTCTCATCTCATCGCAGATCAGCCACCCAGCTCCACAGGCAGGGAGCTGGATTTTCACAATACATGTGATAATGTGGCTGAGGAAAATGGCAGCTTCTTCTCCTAAGTAACTACCATGTTTTTAGAAAGGAAGAGAGTGCCTCATCCCACCACAACTATAGCCACTCGGTGTAGTGGAGAAAATGGAGACGATATGTGCTATGCCAGACATGGACAAAAATGCAGGCGAGAAAAGGAGGGTTCTAGGCAGTTTACTTCCAATGCTGAACAATTCACTTAGAAAATTAACCTGTTTAACACAAACTCAAAGTTTCACATCTACAGCGCCAAAGAAAGAAGCTAGTGGAAGTGTTGGTTTAGATACATTTGATACCAGTTTGTTAAGGACCTAATCCTTCTCCCACTGATATCAATGGTAAAACTCCCACTTACATAAAAGGGAGTAGGTTTGGGTTCTAAATCCTGTTGCTGTCACAATGACCAGCCATTCAGATAGAAGAAGATCTGCGTTCCTTGGCTCCCATTAGCATTCCAGCTGCTCTGATCCTCATCTCCACTATTATCCAAAAGAATTAGGAACTGACATTACCAATACAGTGGTTTAGTTCCATTGTAGTTTGTTGGGAAGGAAGATTTGACATTTTTACAATTTTATTTCCTTCCTTGTGGAAAAATCTAATCCTGCTACTGCAAACTGCTTTCTACATGTGATTCCCATGCCTCCACACACAGCCCCATTGACTCATGAGTCTGCCTATGCAGAGCAGCTTGCGAGACTGGGACCTGTAATAATTCCTTCTTTCACCGTGTCTTGTCTTCATGGACTCACTAGCTCCAAGACAGACAATTCTACACTGAGAGAGCCCTGGCTGCTGAATTGGAATGGGAAGGGTTCTTATGCTAGAATAAGCATCTGACGAGTCAAGACACACGGATGTGTTGGACAAGAGTCATTATGTAAGTGACCAAGCAATTCTGGCATTCTGATTCTTCCCCCAGTGATAAGCAAAGTGACACAAAAATAAAGGATGTTTCATGAAAACAGAATAGGTTTATACCTAGTACTTTTCACCCCAGAACAAAAATTATTAAAAGTAACTCTCAAACTTTATGGACAAAAAAGACATTTATTTCACCCTTGTGTCATACAAGTGGTTTCAGAGGGTGGGGTGGGAGGGTTGGAGAAGGGTGAGAGAAAAAGTTAAAAGTTTTCTCTGGTACTACACCTGCCCCTGAATCTCTTGAACAGTTTCTGTGGCTTTACCTATTCATATTTTTAAATTTATAGGAAATAATTTCCCAATTTTCAATCTTTTTCTGGTTCCTTGATGCTGTATGAAAGACCCACACAAACAAAACGGAAATTTACTGACCATACACTGCAAACTGACTATACACAAATGCCTGTTAAATCCACAAACTTTAAAAAAGGAAGAAAAAATATTTGACTAATTTCTTTCAATTTCTTTTGTGTTCATTATAAAATAGAACCAGACACATTTTTTCACTGAAACAAAATTCTGATAAAGATTCATTAGCACTTCCATTTTCCAAACAGCTCTACTTGTAAAAATGGTAGCCTTAAACAGATAGTGGTATGACTTTTAGTTTGATGATAATCCTTTAATATTTTTAATTTGTAAAATTCTGACTTTAAAATAATAAATCAGATTAAATAGTGCAATAATGTCTTTTGGTGGAGGAGGGAGAAATTTGGTTTTCAAGTAAATGTTGAAAAATTCCCAAGTAAAAAACCCTTTTCTAATTCAAACAATTTGGCAGACATTACTAGTTGGCAGGCATTATTAGTTGCCTCTTCAGTTGATGGTCTGGAACTTTGTTTCATTCAGTGTCTGCACAAATATTTAAAAAGCAGAATTTAAATATAATACAAGGAATGGGTCCCTGCTAGAGCAAGTTCCTTTTGGGCTTGGATATTCAGTAGACAGGTGAGGACTTTTATTTGGGAGTTGGCTGAGAAGGCAGTCTTTAGAATTTGAACCTTCAGATTGCTCAGTGACCTGATATCAAACAGCTCAAGAAAGTTAGTGACTGATTATACTGGGAATCTTTTGAAAATCTGGAGGTTTGGGGTTTATCTCAGATTTTCAGATTTGGATTCGGGGGTCACAAATCTGTGTTGCTGTTTTGTAGGGAAATGAATCCTGAAAACACAGGCCCTATTAATAAAATCCAGTATCTATATTTTCTTGATTATACACATAACATAAGCTGTGTATAGCAGAAATTCTCATGAAAAGCAGGGAGATTTGCACTCTCTGTGAACAATAACTGATTTTTACATTCCCCTTTTTCATGGACTCTTCTTCCAAATGCCTAAAAAGATCTGATCATAAAATATCAAGGACTATGTAATACATGATTTTATAAGTTAAAGAATATACAGGACTAATCTCTTATGAAATTTCATCTTGTAGATCAAAACTATTTTCTGAGTTACAAAAACAAAAAACATTTGATACAAAAATACTGTAATTTTTTTTTAGTCAATCAAAATATGCCAAATATTTTTTCCTCTTTATGGGGCCCTGGTATTCAGGTTCATTAAGAGTGAAGTGTTCTAACAGATAGCACTTGTGTACAGATTCTCTTCTGGTGGAAACTACAACAGTCCGTTCAGGGGTCTAGTTTTCCCAGGATCTGTGCAGATCATTTCCATGAAGCTAGTGAGAATCATACCTTAGCCTCAAAGGAGGAATACAGTGGCCTGGATAATACCTCTCTGATAAAGACAATCTGCTGGAAATTTAGTTCTAGAAATTTGTAAGTCATAGTGTCTCAATATAAGGAAAGGAAAGTATGGATCTGTTTCTATTATCTCCATGTCCCCAGTTGTTCTACCTTGTTGTTCTAAGTACTTTAATCACCATGTCAGGATGGATAAAATATTAGTAACAGTTAGATGAAATTGTACCGCAAATCCTGACAGCAACAAGATAGTTTTGTTAACAAACTCCCTCTAGAAACAGTGGCAATCTTGTGGCAAGCCCTAATCATCCCACTGAGCATGTTAGGACTTAAAAAGCAACTGCATGTTATGGAGGCAGGAAGCAATTACAATCTGTTAGAAACGAAGGCATTGCCTTATAAATTGTAATCCAGTGCTGGCATGGAATGTGTTTAAAAGAAGAAAAATATTGCCAGTTTAATCACCTGAATTGCATATTTACTGATTTATCATGACAAGATAGCACTTTTGACAGAGGAACAAATCCCTTTGGTCCGAGACAACAGTTTTCTTGATTACTTCGCCAGCAACAATATTTTCCACAGAAAAATTTACATTTTTTCAGAGTAACATTTCTAAATGTCATATATGTATAAGTGGGTCTGAGTTTCCCTTCAACATCAATGGGAGTTGTGCACACGTATCAAGTGGAGAGCAACCCTGGATACTGTTTACAGCTGGTTGCAGTGGGGTTTTAACTTGTCATGGAACCTCCGGGTGCATTCAGCACTTTAGTAAGATTTCCAGTGTGTTAGTTTGCCAGTATTATATTTTATAATGACTGTTTAACAATAACCAGCAAGATATGAAGAATCTCATACTAGATTAATTTAAGGTAGGTCAAATTATGCAGTTTTAAGTCAATCGGTGTTGTATTTTTTTTTTTAGTCTAGCATCTGAAATCTCTTCTGTGCTTACTTGGTTCTGTTTCAGTGTGGACACCAGTTTTTGCAAAGTAATATTTTCTTCTTCAAGCTCAGTGTAATCCTGAAGAAGTCTTGCCTCTCGGAACTTGTATTCTCGAATTTCATCTTTCATCCGTATTCTCTGCAACTCTGCCATTTCGTTATTCTGAAGGAGAGGGGAAAAAAACCAAAATGACAATTTCATTTCCAGCAGCATGAATGGTAAACATGGCCCCAGTGTATAACAAGGGCAACAAACAAGTAATCAAAATGATTTAACACTACATGTCAAAACAGCAGCACCACAATTTATATGGTGTCATACCACAGTTCCTAGTATTTGTTATACGGCTGGATGGACACAAATGAGCATATGAGATATGGAAACTTGAACAAAATAGTTCCAAGATTAATTTTCTATTTAAATTAAAAAACCCTCTAGTGCTTTATCATCTCATTACTTTTATTTGCTAGAAGCCTGGTTGAAAGGCTTAAATCAAAACACAATTGTCTACTGTTTTTCACTAAAGGACAATACACTAAATTCATACAGCAGAAAAATGAATAATGGTGTCTGTCTTGCAAAGATAGCTATTAACCAAGATGAAGTAATATAAGAACCAACTTCATGTTTTGAAATCAAGTACAGGTATTTATGTGCTGTATTATTCAGTAAAACCTGTTGCAAGAGACTTCTCAAACGATGGAAAACTCAGTTGTTCAACAGATGTGGTCTTCTAATAAAGCTGGAGTATTTCAGGATAACAAGAGGCAGCTTCTTAAACCCAGAGGTTACTAATTAGAGTGGTCTCATTTCAGGTTCTGCTGTATGTATAAAGTGATATAGATAGAAGTCATTTCAACAATAACCCTACCAGTTTTCTAGACACTCATATATGTTTTCAAGAACTGCCATCAAAAAGTTATTTGACTGCACCTGATTCTAGGCTTGACAAATTTTTTGCATCTCGAGCTTGGGTTTGCTAAGGTTATTCTTCGTGGGAGACTCAAATGCTGAAGTGACCTTTAACCTCTCTAAATCATCAGATATCAGAGGCCTGATTTTAATGGTACACTTGTCTAACCCCACTGTCTTCTATGGAGTTACTCCTGATTTATAATTAGGCTTGTAATGATTTGATTTTTATCAGTATATATCAACAGAAGTTGATTTCACCATACACAAACGAATGAGAATTATTTCCATCAATAATAATCAAAATTTACAGACAGGCAAAGTAACGAAAATGCTGCTTGAAAACTTATTAAAGTTTGATTTAAGGGTAAAATTTTGACATATGATGTCGACAGTTTGTATTTTAGCAGTTATAAAGCTTTAACTTTTTGAATCTCAAAGTTTACTCTCATTAACTAATTATTGGCTGACATCCTGCAACTGTGAAAATTTAAATGGATAAAAAATAAAAAGTGTAAAAATAAACATCAATATTATCTGTTGAAATGATAAACAAAATCCCATTCTACCAAGCCTATTTATAATGGAGTAGGTGAAAGTGGAATCAGCAACAGATATGGCCTTTTAGGGTAAGACTGTCCACCACTGCTATGTATGTGAGCCCCTTCAGTCCTGATTCATGGCGGTAAGGACCATCAGTCGTATCTTCCCCCCTCCTGCAGGAACAATGAGCACTGCAGCCGCAGTGGTACCCGGGGGGCACGACGGAGTATTCTATAGTAAGAAGAATGGCTACATTCATAATGATGGCATAGACTGTGTCTCTGCTGTGATGCCAGGAGGAGCAGAGATAGAAAATAATATAATCTATGATTTCTGCAGCAGGAGAGCAATCATAGACATATCTTTCTGAAACATTGAACATCTCTGTAAGAAACAGGCACTATAGAAACTGCATTCAGTGATCTGTGTGTATCTGGCTCTGTATGCAGTGGCAGATTACCCACTGGGCCAATGGGGCCTATGCCCAGGGGCCCCAGCCAATTGGAATGCCCCCACACTCTAACCTGCTCTGCCCGCCCGGCGCTCCTGTTGCGGAGCAGGGTCTGGGCGCGGAGGCTTGTCCCTCTCCACCCGCCTGTCTGTCTGGTGTGCCTGCTGGGGAGCGGGGTCAGGGCGCTGGGGCTTGCCCCGCTCCGCCCACCCGGTGCTCCTGCAAGCCCCCGCACCCCAATCCCTGCTCCCCAGCAGGAGCAACGGGCAAGGGGATGGGGCAGGGCAAGCCCTCAGGCCCTGACCCCATTTCCCCAGCAGGAAGGTAGGAGGGTACTGCAGGTGGAAACGGTGGGGAGGGACCCCCATTTGCTCTGGCCCAGGGCCCCACAAAAGTGTAATCTGCCTCTGTCTTTATGTACATATTAATTCCTAGTACATAACGGTGCAGTAGTAAGTGTTATCAATTCTGAGTTGATCTGCAAGACACAGATATTTAGTTTTGCATCTGGGTTAAAGTGTAAAAGCCTAAAAGATAAACTATAAACCACTATAAAATATGTTGATGCAACAAAGATTACAAAGGATGACAAACAAGCACTTTATTAGACTAAGCCTTTTCATTCCAAATTAAAATTAATGAAAACTCCTGGCACTCAATTAAGAAAAGAAAAGAAACTGCAAGATCTCGAACTTGGAGCAAGACTTTAGTTGAAAGATCCCAGGTGGCAGAAGAGTCATGAAGCACCAGGGAAAAAAGGCCATTTAAATGTGTTCCTGCAACATTCCCTGCTGACTGAGCCTGCGAGTCAAACCTGGGAATGGCATTGTATATTATTTCTCAGGGGGAAGACAGCTTATGCCACCGGTGGGATAAATATAAAATACAATAAAAGAAACAGAGTTAGTCTAAGTTAGGTTAAGGAAATAATGTGTGTTGTAAAGAAAGGCCCGGACTAGCAAGTAGAAGGAAGGCCTTGAAAACAGTGAGTTATAAGGCCAGAAGGAATGAAATAGGGGGCGTGTCTGGTTAAAAAAAAAAACAACTAATGACCTAAAGGGAAGTTTCTAAAAAGGAGACCAATAGGGTGACTGCACATGGTTTTAAATAAAGCAAAAGAGAATCTGTCTTAAAAAGAGTCATGAGTCTTCCCACCTCACATACCAATGTTATCTCAAAAACCAGGGGCTATGTAAACTAGGCAAAATGGAGAAACTGCTTGTGAGCCAGGAGGGGAAGAGAAAGGGAGGAGAGGCCTTGGAGAGAGAGAAGGCTGTAAGACTACGTCTATCCTACGCAGCTTTTAGCGACACAGCTGTGCCACTACGGCAGTGCCATTAAATGCAGAGCCGCATACCTGCTGTCTGTTGGCAGGAGAGAATTCTCCTGCTGACACAAAACTTCCATCCCCCACGAGAGGCAGTGGCTTTGTCGGCAGTAGGAGAGTGCTCCTGCCGACAAAGTGCTGCTCAGACTGGCGCTTTTCGTCATTAACACTTTTGTCGGTCAGGGGGGTGTTTTTGTCTTTTTTCAACACCCCTGAACGACAAAAGTTTTGCCGACGAAGTGCCAGTTTAGACATAATCCAGATAAGATTGAGGGTAAGACTGAAAATAAGGGTGACTTGTCTCAAATTGGTTTTAGCTGAAATCAGTATGTGGCAATGACATCATTTGTTTGTTAAAGGGTATAAAAAATTATGAATTTGAAGATTCTTTGTCGTACTCTACCTGATCATGCTGGAGCACACCAGACTGAGACAGTTTTCCCTAGGTCTCGCAGAACTGTAAGTATACTGATCACATGTTTATGAATACTTTAGTACTGTATTGAGTGTAGTGACTGCTTATTTTTAGGCCGTCAGGCATGTTTAGAGAATTGTATAAAATACCATTTGACCTACACAATAAATAAAGGAATTAGTGGTTAAATTAGTGTCTGGTAATTTCCCACATTAGTATTAATAATGTCTAATATTAATAATTCCAATACCACTGAACAACTGCCTATGATTTCCATTTCTGACAGTATGTCTTTAATTTTGAGTCCTGTAGGGTCTGGGTAGACATGCAAGTCTACATTCATGAGAAATGCGAGACAAAATGGACTGAAGTGATAGCAGTATGGGGACGACACCCAGCTCTACCTCTCTTTCACGCCAAGCGTAACTGCGCTGTCTACAACCTTACCAATGCCTGGAACAGGATCAGCCCCTGGATGAAGAGCGGGTGGCTGAAAATCAACCCAGGCAACAAGTGTGTTTTAAAGAATTCTCCTTCCCCATAACAGCCCCATCCACTAAAGGAATCTCTCTCAGGAATGCTGACATGGTCCACAGCAGTCTCAGGCCCTTAGCCAATTGCAGTTTAGGAAAGGTGTGTGATAGAACAGGATTAGGGTGCATTTGCAGAGTTACACAGGAAAACTAATGTCTGGTCACATTAAGTCTGATCCAAAGCCCATTGACTTCAATGGAAAGACGCCCATTGACTTCAATGGACTTTGGATCAGGCCTATTATGCCAGTCTTTCATGAGCAACAAATTTACATACAAAATTAAATTTTAAAAAACACACAACCAAAAAAATGTTGGAGGTCAAAAATCTTAACTAGTAATTTGTAACTGTTGGATTAAGCAAAGGGTAAGAAGGTTGAACAGCTGATAACATAAAATTAAGGTTTTAACAACAAATATACAAAACTAACCAATTATTTTGTCCTATACTTAATTTTTACAAAATCCATCACATACTCTGGGATACAGTAAATATTTAAAAAAACCAAAAAAACAAAAAAACACACAAACCCCAAGCTGGCTCAGCAATCAGCTACTTTGATCAAAAGGAACAGCTCTTAGAAAAAGCAGGAAGGGGACAAAATGGCCACAGATCAAAGGACCTGAATAAAAAGGCTTTTTACCAAATCCTGATGCATTATTTCACTGATGCACTACAAGCTATTTTATTTTGGAAACGGCTCTGAGATTCACTGAATGTCTAAGACCAAGGAATTGAACCATTTTTCCCCCTAATACAACATACAGCCACTGTACAGGAAGGTTGAATGGCTATCTTTCTTAAATTCATCATCTTAAAACAAACAGAATGCTCATTCCTTCGCCACATACCACTGCTTCTCCTCCACATTCCTGGACGTATAAACAGAACCACTTATATTTCTCCTCACTCCCTTCTTTTATCCACACAGAAAATGTTACTACAGAACAATACACTATTTGCTCTGCTTAAAACAAAAA